CTCCATTCTGGGCGACAGAGTGAGACTCCAACCCCCCCCCCAAAAAAAAATCAGTACAGTCATGACATGAATGATGGGGATACGTTCTGAGAAATATGTCACTAGGTGATTTTGTCTTTCTGTGAACATCAGAGCATACTTACACAAACCTAGGTAGCCCAGCCCTCTACACACCTTGGGCATATGGTAGAGTCTCTTGCTCCTGAGCTACAAACCTGTACAGACTGTCACTGTACTCAGTTCTGTAGGCAACTGTAACACAATGGTCAGCATTTGTGCATCTAAACCTAGAAAAGGTGCAGCAAAAATGGCATTATCTTAAGGGACCACGGTCTTATGTGTGGTCTGTCACTGACTGAAATGGCATTATGTGGCACATGACTGTGCAATAGAGTTGGGTTTTCCAGGAAAAAAAAAGTTCCTTTCTGTATTATGCAACCCATTTGTAAGTATTTAACATTTCAGGAATTTTTATTTGTTTATTTATTTTTTGAGTTGGAGTCTCTCACTGTCGCCCACGCTGGAGTGCAGGGGCACACTCACAGCCACCGCAGCCTCGACCTGCTGGGTTCAGGCAATCCTTCCACCTCGGCCTTCCAAGTAGCTGGAACTACAGACGTGTGCCACCACACCCAGCTAATTTTTTGGTTTATTGTAGAGACGAGGTCTCACCATGTTGCCAGGGCTGGTATCAAACCCTGGGACTCAGGCAATCCTCTTACCTTGGCTTCCCAAAGTGCTGGGATTACAGGCTTAAGCCACCATGCCCAGCCACATTTCTGGAATTTTTAGACAAGAAAAGCCCCAATTCTTATTTCAAAGATTTCAGGGAAGCAGGAAAGGCTTTTACTGAATCCAATAATCTGCTAATCAGGAGAAAGCAGACCTGCCTTTGCCAAGGAAGCAGAACCCCATTTCTTTAAGAGACAGGGTCTTGCTCTATTGCCAGGAGAGAGTGCAATGGCATGATCGTTGCAGCCTCCACGTCCCGGGCCCCAGGGATCCTCTTGCCTCAGCCTTCCAAGTAGCTGGAATTGCAGGCGTGAGCCACTTCGCTCAGCTAACTTTTTTTCTTCGAGTTGGAGTCTTGCTACATGGTCCAGGCTGGTCTCAAACTACTGGGCTCAAGTGATCCGCCTGCCTTGGCCTCCCAAAGTGCTGGGATTACAGGTATAAACCACCACACCTGGCAGAACACTCTCGATATGTAAGCTTATACAGGAAATGGTTCCATTACACAAGCCTAAGAGCAACACAAAATTCAGAAAAGTCTTTGAAAAATGAGCCTTTCAATGACTAAGAGCATCCTATGTTAAGGGAAACTTCCCACCTTCGGCCTCTGTCCGACCCTGGCTCTTTTCCACTGCAGGTGTTCAGGGCACCTCAGTGTCTCCCACAGCCACAGCCCCACGTGCTCCATTTTTATTTTTGTACAGATAGAATTAGCAGAGGTTTTGAAACTGGGACCATAAACAGGTGCGAGGGAAGAAGGTGTCCCTCCCTCCTCTTCTCCCACTCTGAAATCATGCCACCTAGGTTCAAAACCTTTCACCGTGTCTCAAACCGACTGGAGTAAAAACCCAAAGTGCGGCTGGATGCAGTGGTTCACGCCTGTAATGCCAGCACTTTGGGAGCCCGAGGCGAGAGGACTGCCTGAGCCCATGGGTTCGAGACCAGCACAGGCAACTTGGGGAGACCTCATCTCTACAATAAGTCAAAAAATTAGCTGGGTATGTTGGCATGCATCTGTTGTTCCAGCTACTTGGAAGGCGAGGTGGAAGGATCGCGGAGCCCAGCAGGTCGAGGCTGCGGTGGCCGTGAGCATGCCATTGCACTCCAGCCTGGGTGACAGAGTGAGACTCCAACTCAAATCAATAAACAAACAAATAAATGAATGAATAAAATATCTGTAATATTTTCAGACCGCGGTTGATCTCGGGTCACTGAAACCGTGGAAAGCCAAAGAGCCAAGAAGGGGGCTGCCAGATCCGCACAGCTGTATCCTCACCCCTGTGGGTCTTCACTTCAGAGTCCCTTTCTCAGTGGGCTTTTCCTGCCACGCCATCTAACATTGCAAACTCCTCCTCTCTATCCCACTTCCCTGCTTCGTTCTTCTCTTCCACACTTATGACCTGCTAACATGCTCTGCCATATTTTAATATTTTCCAAATGATACCACTAGAATCAGTACCAATAAAAAGGGGGGAAAATAAACAAAAAGGAGGAAGCTAAAACAAGAGAGGGAGCCTAGCAAAGCAGAGGGTGGCTCAGGCCCGCCTGCATGTCAATGGGGAGGGGGTGGTGCGTTTCCCCACCGGGCCCAAACCTGCTTGGGGGGGGCTTCAGGTAGAATGGGGATCCCGCAAGGGAAGCGGACCCTGTGTCTGGTTCATGGCTATATTCCCAGGGATTAGAATTGTATCTGAGACATGATCCACGCTCCAGAAAGACTTGTTGAATAAATCAAGACAGGAAGGGAAGAATAAGCAAACAAACTGAAATACAGTATCTGAGAAAACTGACTGCCTCCAGAACCCCCTCAGGTACCAAAATCTGTGGATGCTCAAGTCCCTGATACAAATGGTTCAATATTTGCATATAACCCACACACACCCTCCCGTGTGCTCTAAATCGTCTCTAGATTATTGGTAACGCCTAACACCAGGTCCACATTCACTTCAATTCAGAGTGTAGCAAATTCAAGTTTGGCTTTTTTGAACTTTCTGGAATTCTTTTCCCAAATACTTTGGATCCCTGGTTGGTTGAATCATCTGAGGCAGAACCCACAAAGCTCCCTTTCTACCTTGGGCCATCTAGAGCAAGTCTGGGCCACCGTTCTTGCCTCTAGGGCAGAAAAACAAAATTGTCACCTCTGCAAGGGTCCACACTGGATACTGTGGGGGTACTGCCTGCCCTTCTTCCAGCAGACAATTTCCCCTGGCAAAATGCCTACAGAGAAGTCACCCTCACTGAGCCCTCCCAGTGTGAGACCACCATAGTCTCCTACCTGGTGACAGGGAAGCAGCTGGAAAAGTCGAAATGCTCAGCCTGTCCGTCCTCCAGTAAAGAGTGTAGTACTGTAAAAGGGGCTTTCACCACCAGGGATTTCAAAACAGCTGCTTTGTTGCAGCTGTTTAAAGATATTTCATCCTAGCTGGGCTTGGTGGCTCAGCCTGTAATCCCGCACCTTGGGAGGCTGAGGTGAGTGGATTGCCTGAGCCCGCGGGTTCGAGACCTGCCTGGGCAATTGGCGAGACCTCATCTCTACAATAAATCAAAA